ATTTGGTGTTTCAGCTATAAGTATTGAACACAGCGACTGTCCGGCCGATGAAGGTCATGTAAGGGGACATAACTACAGCTGTGGTATGATTGTGTGTAAATATCCAAAGTAAGTCTCCCACAGACAACCACTCAACTTCTAACTCTCCTGCATCATGCCTGTCTTTATTTAGCTGGCTTGGGATTATTCTGCATCTTCCGTTTGAGATTGACGCAATAAAGTATATTATATTTACTGGTATTTAGCCTGCAATATTATCCCGGGGGCAACAAATGAGCTCTGATGGAGAAAGAAAAAAAGGATGGACTTACTGCAGGACATAGAAATAACAGTCATATTTCAGCTGAATGGTATTTTACATGGGTGGGCTTATTAACAGGCATGGGCTTATTGCCAGATGGATATGATATATTTATTTATATAAAACAAGTATTTTGGATGGAAATAAAATTTAAAAAAAAATTGTCAGTGTAATAATTTGCAATTTGCATTATTTTTAAGCAATGTTAAAAACTGGGAACAATTTCAGTCTTTGAAATTCACATTTTTACAAAAATGGCACACTTCTCAGATATATTGAATTGAAAACATAAAGATGATAAAATTAAATATGTAAATATAATTATAGTTAAAATTGTGTCTGAATATATGTTTGCCATTTTCTAAAACCATGAAAGAAGATTAAGAAAAAAGATTAATTAGAGAGCAATTATCTCAAACTAATCAAACGTAATGAAACTCGTATGAAAAATCATTTAACAAATAAGCTCAAGCATGTTCAGGTATTGTTGGGAAATAAACGATTGATGCATTTTGTCTGTTTTTCAAGATATGCATACTGCATGCTCTAAAAAAATCTTATGTGGAAGTTTTAATAAATTAAAATGGATACAATTTGAAATATTAAGTTGCCCCCATCTCTTTTCTGAAAACTTGTATGAATATTTTCAAAATTTATTTATATAACACTTAGCTTCACAACGAATATAAATTAATAACACAGCTCTAATAATGTTCTTCTCAAAATATTTCTATTTTATTTTTATTCCTATTCCAGTGTTATATTACAATCACCGTATCTGATGTAACAACGGCACCTACTCTTTTATGGGCACTAATTGAGATTTTTATGCTTAATGTTACATTCTGGAGATTTTACTATTCTTGATTTCCAGAAGTCTCTCAGTTCCTGTTCAATGAAGAAACAGCTGTCACAGAGTATGATCTTTTGATACAGTGAACAAAAAAAGCAATCTTTCAAAATATGACACACCTCTTTATTAATTTGGTTTAGGGTTACTGTTCTTGATTTCCAGAAGTCTTCTGGTTGATTTTGTAAGTTTGACAGTTTTTCTCGTCAAAATGACGCAGAATCAGGTTCCTTTAACACTTATATTGAATGAAGAAAAGCTGTCCTGGAACATGATCTTTTGATACAGTGGACATTTTAAGCAATCTTTCATTAAATGACAAACCTCTTTATTAACTTGGGAATGTAGTAAAAAGACCTTAATGGGCGGGAAATGTAGTCAAAATACAAGGCAATCTTGTGAAAAGACAATTGTGTCAAAATAAAAGCACCCCTCAAATCATTTACCAGGCATCTGGTGCTCTTTTTACATCAAATACGGTATACATATATAATTTTTAACCAGATTGAGAATCACTTGTACATAACCTAACTTCCTAACATACAAATGTACAAATAATAACAGTATAATCTGCTATGCATGGTTATTTGCATAATTCGTCATTAGTCCAAATTCACAGTGGAAGCAACTTTATGAAAAGGGGAATTTCCCAGAAAAGTAACTAGGGCTCAGTTCTGAGTTTGTGTATCAAATGAGGAATTTAGTTTTACCTGGTAGTTTAATTTTTTTGGGGGTATTTCATTTTCATATGATAAAACCATTCCTATAATCTCTCATGAACTTTGTCCCACAAGGTTAAAAAACAAATTATTAGCATAATTACCATTTCTTCAATGGAATCAAATAAATACAATTAGGTTTTACAAGGTGAGAAAATCAACACATTAAAGGAAGACGTTGTTTTGAAATGATTTATTTAGATAGGTCACCATGGTCAGATATCTATACACATCAAAGATATGCATGTGCTACAGAATAGATATGAGGCCACTTTCATACCACATGTCCACTGATTGAACAGATCACCGTGTGGCTTATTTACGATGCTTGAGTCGCTGATTACCACAATATGTACAATGTGTTTGCTTTTCCCCCTGACACCTGTTTTAGGTAGACGTGTTGGCTACTTGTATTTGTGGCATCTTTCTGAATCCTGTGCTCTCTTCAGCTAATAAAAGTTCCATAACTCTTTTAAGTCATATCAAACCCAAGAGGAGACAACTGTTAGGTTAAAATGTTGCACAAAAGAAAAATAAATCATTAAGAAGTCAAGCAATTGAAATGCCTTTAAAGCAACAATTGATTCAAATTTAATAGGAAGATTAGACAGATTCAGAAATCAAAGAAATTGGTTGATTCCTTAAGAGACTTAATGGAACCTGATTGGCTGAGGAGTGTTGGATGATGTTTCAGCTGCTGAGTGGCTTCCAGGAATAGTTTGTAGCACTGGCTGGCCCATAATCCTTCACTTCCACAGACAAATACATGACCTTGATGACCTTATTTTCTTAACCCTTGACCTCTGTATGAAGTCACATGGTTTGTTTAGTTGTAGCATTGACCACATTATAAATAATTTAAAGCAGATAATATTTGACATCTTTTGGATATAAAGATTCTACAACAAATATTTTGTCTTCATATTAATGCTGTAACCATGCTACCATGACAATACCCTTTGACCTCATAAGAGTTAAGCTGCTGATTGGTTGGTTAACTTTTGTCTGACCTCTGAACTCACAGCAGTAGATTTTGATTGGTTGGTACAGTTATTCCTGACCCCTGAACTCCCGGTCCTGACTGCTGATTGGCTATTTTTCTGACTTTCCTGCTTGTTTTCTAGCTGTCAGTATAGAAGGTGAATTAGAAGAGCAGAAGAAATATGTGAGGGGATGGAACTATCAGTGTGGTATTATAGTCGTCAAATTACCATCGTAAGTGTCAATAGGTCAAGGTTTTGTGAATGTATTTGAGGTTCCTTTAAATAACAGTGATTTTATTGGGTACATTTGGGGCCGAATCCTGGCCCCTAGCTTTCCCTAGAGAATTAAAGCTCTATTTTCCCAAAATCACTTCATACTTCTCCAAAATCATGTTTTTGTTTTAGAAAATCAAATAATGTCATGATCATTTGCATGATATTATATTTCATCAAAATCAAACAAGTTTTGAGTTTTATAATTTACATAGCGACAAACATTCTGATGGTTGTGTATTAAATTTTGTGAAAATATATCAATATTTTCCCACTTTTGTAAAAATGCCACACAATTTTCAAACTTCAAAATGCACTGGGTCCTGCAGATGGTAGCTGTAGTTACAAATTAAAATTGTCGGGATGTTAACTAAGTGATGATTGTAAAGGCCTCTTCCTTCTCCCTCTCCCCTTCACTAAAGTCTTTGAGGTAAATTTTATAATATGACTTTCATTTAAGTTATATTATAATACAAATCTGTCATTTTTCTTCTTGAAAAACATCACAGACGATATCAATTGAGCCAAAAAATTATCAAACTACACAGAAAAATTAAGAACTGTCCTTCTCTGATAGGTTGTGAAATATACTCGGTGCTTAATGTATATTTCTGTGATAAAAATTAGTATTTTACATATAGCTAATATATGCATGATATAACCCATTATGCAATCTCCTGCATGCTGCATTGTAAACGTGGTAGTGTTAGTCAAACTCCTGGTCGAAGCTGCACCAGTGTCTTCAGGCTTGTGTGTCGTATGTGTCACTATATACGCATAAACAGCTAACTCATATATATATATCTATAGCAAAAATTACAGGACTGTATTTATATAACTTATATAGATGTGTTTGTTCAATCTGTGGTTTTTTGTACAATATTTCAGTAACATTCTGACATATTATGCATTATACATGTCTTAAACAACACATCAAATATAACAATTAATTCTTAGATATATTCTTCAACCATATCATTGAATAATATAAGATGAATATTTTAAGTGATCCTCCATTATATTGGAACATTCTGAGCTGAAATTGGTAAAATGTAAACAGTACTGTGTCTTGTTTTAAAATATTTGTTTTCCCCATATTGTTTATGTCCAAATTTTACCTTCGAACAACAGTATAAATTAACAAAAGATATCACACTTTCCGCTTCTGAAAGTATACGTGAGAGATTTAACTCGAGGCTGAAATTGTCAGGGTGAAAATACAATGACTCACAACCGTTGTAAATTTTTAGGTCACCTGAGACAAAGTCTCAAGTGACCTATTGCGATCGCCTTTTGTCCGTACGTCGTCCGTCGTCCGTCGTCCTTCATTCGTCGTCCGTCGTCCGTCGTGCGTCCGTAAACAATTTACATTTTCAACTTCTTCTCCAAAACCCCTGAACCAATTTCAATGAAATTTTGCAGGGACCTTCCATGGACAAAGGTCAACAAAAATAGTTGCCGGTTTAGTCCTACGCCCCCAGGGGCCTGAGGGGCGGGGCCAAAAGGGGTCGAATTGACTAAAATTTCAAAAATCTTCTTCTC